CCGGCCCGGCCCGACCCGGGGTGTTTTTCCTGGAGGGTGAACTTGCCCGAGTAACCGCCGGCCCCGCCGTTTAGCACTGCGTCGTCCTGGGAGCTTCTCTCCAAAGCCAAACTGTGTTTTCTGGGTTTTTTTTTAATTTTCATTTTACTCTGCAAAGCCACGAAATGCTGTAGGATGTGCTAAGGAGCAGGCTGCTGTTACATAAACGGATTGATGTTTTACCTGAGCCACCAGCCCCTCCCTGCCCAGGAGACTTTTTCCCTTTTCTTTTTTCTCCCTTTTTATCCGGTCACACATAGAGCATTTTCTGATTAGCGCCCTCCAGCCTCTTATCCAGGGCTGAGTTAGTGTTAAATATCTCCTGTGCTCTACAGATCCCATCTCCGAGGTCCTGCCAACCTAATGGAGCCAACAAAGAAGCCCTGCGGTGTGAAATCGAAGAGCTGAAACAGAAAGACCTTGCTCTAGACCAGGAAATTGCACAGTTACTGTCCGAGTATGTCCTTGGCCGGCTCAGTGTCCACTGTGATGCCTCAATTATTTTTGTTTTTAAAACAAAACGTGGTCCAAGAATTAGAGCTAAAAGCTGACCTCTCATGGTACTGTTTTTATCATGGTGCTGTATGTTGATTACAGTGTCATTTTGGGTTATGGGATCTCTTAAAGGCAAGAGGGAATTCTTTCTGGTTTATTTAGTAAAGCAAACCAAGTTTTACTAGGAGCTTGGGTAAAAGGATTTTAACTTAACCCCAGATGTTGCTGAGGTAATTATGGGAACAAATAATTTTAACCATCATGATACCACAACACGTCATGCTACTAGAAGAGCTTGTTCATGTGAGAATTAAAATTGAGACCGTGACTTGTGTGACCTGCCAAATTCAGTCCCGGATAAAACTGTATCCTTTTTTTGTTCCATCTTGATCAAGCATGCACTTGTTTCATGTCAGAGGCAGATGGGTTAGACCTTTGTTTTCAAGAAGCAGAGGTGTTTTCCAGGCAGGCAAGTGGCCTGTAGAGCACTGTGGCATGACAGGTGCTGCATACAGGGCAGTGCAACTGGTTTATTGTGGTTTCTTACGACACACTGTGGTAGCTGCTTATTAGAAACTGTTTAGAGATAAAATTGCTGCTTAATTTTTAGAGAGAGGGAATCTCTGTGGGTTATTCATTGCTGAGTGGTATTTTATGAGGAGTGATATTATCACATGGAGTGGTATTTTCTAAGGCAACGTGTAGTGCATGGAATGGAAATGGTAGAACAACAGAGGCTGTTCCAAAAGCTTGTTTGTTTTATCCTCGAGGATAAACAGACCTTTTTTTTTTTTCCCTAGCTATAGGTTAGAGATACATATAAATTGAATTCACCACAGCCTATTTCCCTTTCTACTTGATTCTGAGAATTCAGGTGGCTTAGTTGTTTGGTTTTTTTAGTAAGTGTTGATGTGGCAAAAACCTTCAAAATGAGGATCTTCTCGTTTGTAGCTTTCACATTAATGACTTGCAGCAACTGTCCTTGCTCCTTCAGATTCTGCTTTTGACGTGCCAGGCTTGGGCAGCTGAGGTACCGGCGCTGCGCTCGGTCGGTGGCGGCAGCACGGGCTGTGCAGCAGCAGCGATCTCTGTGTCACTTCTGACCTTTCTGGTTTTGTTGTTACAGAGGCTACAGCCTGGAGGAACTGGAGAAGCACATCTCCCTGCTCCATGAGTACAACGATATTAAAGATGCTGGACAGATGCTGCTGGGCAAGCTGGGTAAGGAGGGGGAAAGCTGCTGAGGAACTTCTTAGTCCGTGTTTTCATGTAGACAGCGAGAAGCTGCTCCGCCACAAAGGCAGAGCTTGTTTTAAAGGTCCTTCAATTCTAGGCTTGTATTGCCCAATCACTTGTGCAAGCACGAACGCTTCTGTTGTTGTTTTCTTGGGATGTTTTTAGAACTCAATATGTGAAATAATTGTCACTTACCAGTGTTTTAGTCTGCGTTATGGATTACCAAAATTTGATAAGTCTTATTAATTTTTTCAGTTTTCTTCTTCATATGCTTGAAAACCCAAGTGTTGAGACAAGCGGGGAGCATACCTGCAAAACCTTAGATTGGTTTCTTAGCTACAGGAGGTTCTGTGGGGTAGTTAGGGGCTGCTGGGAGGAAAACACAACTTCTCTGACTGATCTGATCTTTGTTTAATGAAAGCAACGGTATTTCTTTCTTTTCTAGCCGTTATCCGAGGGGTTACTACAAAGCAGCTCTACCCTGAATACGATCTGGAGCTTAGCGACTAGTACGGAACCTGAAGACTGCTGTGTCCTGCGAACATGACCGTTGCTGGGCCGTTATGTTTTGGTGTCATATCGGTTTGGAACCGACCTAAGGTGGCCTCGGGAGCGTGTGTGTAGAACGGCACAGAGTATGGGTTAAGAGCCTTGCTGCGGAGAAGCTTTGGAAGGTGAAAGCTGTTGAATTTATCAGCTGTTTGCTGCTTGTGGGAAAGGGACGTAGGACTCTGGATAATTTCCTCTACTACATGATCAAGGGTATTTTTATGTTTTTATTGGGATTTCATTCATTTCATTTTATTGGTATTTATTCAGGTTGATGTTAAGTCTCTTCCCGTGGAGCCTTTGCTTCTTTGCAACATCCAGGGGCTACTTGGATGCTGAATGGATAGAGGAGGTGAGGGCCTACAAATGTGCAATGTAATAGCTGCTTGGAAAGAAAAGAAAAAACCCTCAGAAGTAGGGAGGGAAGAAGGCTGAAGTTGTGGTGGTTTAGGGGCTTTCTTTTGGTTTATGATCCAATCTGGATGAGTCTGAGTGTTCTGCATTTTCGTACTTACCTGCTCTGGTATCTAGAGGTTTTGTATCATTTCTGTAGTAAATGGCAAAATGAGAAGTTGTGTTGAACTGTCCAGTCTGAATAAAGCAGCTATCACATTTCTCAGTAATTCTCTTTAAGAGCCTATAAAACATCGCAGGAACAAATGTTTAAACTCTATTCTGAGACAACTGACACCTGTTATTGAAATGTTTTCTGAGGACTCTTAATGCAGACAGCGTGGCAGCACTGCCCAGTAATGGGTAGGTGCAGAATTACCTTCGCTCTCCTCTAAATGCAGAGTCACTGTGAAAGCGAGCAGTGTCCTAACACAAAATGATGTTGAGAGCCTGAGTGTTTCGATGTCAGGTGTTAGGACTGAGGGTGACTGCACAGACTAAATTTGGCTGCTCTGGGCAGTTCTAAGTGATAAAGTGCTCTGACTGCTGGTCTGTTGTCCCTTTTTCACTCAAGCTTGATGTCCTTCTGCCCATTTCTGCTTCTAAGACCTTCTTGCCAGGAAGTTTCCCCCTGGTCTCCAGTCAGGCCCACGCTGCAGTCTGCTCATCGTTTCCAAATTGAAATCAAACGAATCTGTCTTTGTAGCGCTTGGAAACCAGTCACAAGGCTGCTGCTGAGAACAGAGGATTGTTTCTGCGCTCTTGGTTCTGGACCTGGCACAGAAGCATCCCTAAAGTGGCTTGTTTTGCCACAAAAGCTGTGGGGAGGGGGCTAAAGCAGGGGGACAGACAAAGCCCGTGTATTCTGTGAGTCACTCGAGCAAGTCTCAGCTAACGTGCAGCTGCACTTCTCTGGAGGCCGTGCAAGAGTGGACTCTCATGGGCAAGGTTACAGGTCTATCCTCCCCACCATAAACTCCTTTTGCCAAGTGTGGAGAACTCCTGTGTTCTCGAGTAGTTTTAAGGGAAGGAAAAAAAGCCACAAGAAGACAGGAATTGGGAAATGCTACCTTTGTTCCCAAACCTCATGTTGCTGTTTTGGCAGGTATTTTCTGTGTGGAAGAACTGGTTTAGCCTGAAATGTTCCCAGCACAATGTTAGCCCAGTAATGGCACACACAACTGGAAATGGTTTCTGCAATGGGAAGTCTGTACAGAAATTCCTTCTGTTTGTGTTGGGTGTAAGCCATGGGGGAAGGAAGGACGCTCCACTACCAAAGTTACTGAAGGTTATTTAAGGACTGAGAAGTCCATGTTTCCTTCCCCTCCTTGTAGGAGCACTAGGATTAAAACTTCCAGCTGTAGCTGTAGCTGTGCCAGCATTCTGCTCCAGCACTCCCACTTCTGCAGGGAAGGGTTTGCCCTTGAGTTAGCACAAGACACTTGTCCGTGGAAGGTGTCCCTTGTCCCTGGAGGATGAAGGCAGGCAGAACCACCCAGCTGAGGTAAGAGCAAACTGTCCTTGGGGAGGCCCTGCGGCTCTGCAGCTGGCACGGTGACGTGCCACGTGGTGGCAGCTACACTCCACTGCTGTTCTGGCTGCTCTGAGCAGAGCAGGGAAGCCCAGAACAACTGAAAGATTTCCAGGGTCTAAATTAATGACTCCTGGGGGGCTTTGGGACAGGACTGCACTCTGCCACTTGAGGTACTTCATCATGGCCCCTCGCTGCTCCTCCCAGAGTTCCTTCTTGTACCTTAATGGCGGTCATCTGGAGGATGAAATATGCTGGCCTTTGTCCAAATCCAGAAGAGGAATAGAACAAATCTTTTGCTTTCTATAAATACATCTCCAAACTTGCTAGCAAAGTGTATAAAGCTGGAAAAATATTGAGTGCAATAATGGTAAGTGTAACTTCAGCTTTTTAATTTAAATTTAGAAAGTGTATTTCTGCTCAGTCAGACCCAGCTATGATGAGCTAACAGAGAACAAACAGAGCTTACAGAGCTTCACCGAGGCGCAGTACGTGCTGTCTGCATGGAGGTGCAGCAGAGCAGGATAGCAGAGACCCCTGAACACCCTTTGTTCCTCGGGGAGTGGGGGGAAAGCAGCAACATGCTCTTTTTTTATGAGCCTGTGTACTCCTGGATGAGTACTGAGCCAAGAACCGGCCTCTTCCCCTTTAGGTCACTTTCAGTTTTATTTCTTGTCTCTCACGCATCAGTCCCTACTACAAACCACTTTCCTCATCACACACGCCTACTCTGGGTATAGCCATTTCCTTGCATTGCTTTGTGTAAGCTGTGTTTTCTCCTGCACATCCCTCTCTTAGTCTGATTTTGAGCTCTTGTGTGTCTGAAAGCAGGGCTAATGGAAAGAAAATACTCTAGGACAACAGAGGGAAAATAAAATCCCTATAGTGGATAAGTTATACTGCCAGTTGCAAGGAACAAACAAATCTGTGCAATCAAGGGAATACAGCTCTCTAAGATGCTATTTCCTGCTGCTAAACAATTTGGGGATGGGTTTTTATATCCCTTAGCAACCTAATGTTCCCGCAGTCGACAGGAATTTTGGCACAGCTCACTCCTGTTAATGAACTGTTGGCGACGCTTTAAAAAAAAATTACACAGCCTGTCACTGAAAAAAATGCCTCTGATTAAAGTCCTCCCAAGGAAAGGGTGGAAGTGAACAGCAATTAACCTCCTTCCTTCTGCTGTCCGTCACGCTGTCAGCGTGGAGCTGCCACACGGTGCCACAGAGATTGCTTGTGGATGTTCCCCCGCAGCACGCTCAGCTCTCTGCAGCGGGGGCCGTCCCCACGTCCGCCTTGTGCAGATGACTGCTGTCCTGATGGCCTAGTGTTTTCTCCAGCTCGGTCTCCACTTTAAGCTGACAATCCCGGATTGCCTTCCGGATGTTCTGCAGGTTCCACTGGGTTCTCAGGAGAGCATCATCCAGCGTGAAAACACCATCGCGGATCCTTCGCACTTGGGTGCACACGGCAGAGGATTTCAGCTCCAGACCGATCTCATGAACTATTTTTCGGAGGTACTGCTGGGTCTCGTGCAAGCAGTAGATTTCTAGAAGGACAGAGAGATTCCTTCAGAAGAAGCAAAGCACTGACACACTCAGAGCTTGTCTGTAAATCTAGATATCGCTCACAGTAACGCTGAAAGATTATTTAAGATAAAGTACAGGTGGATTATGATTTTTCTGGAATACTGCAGGGTGTCTTAGCCCCTCCCACAGTGAATGATTTATACAACAAATTCATAGATACGGGAGAGTAATGTAGAAATTGAGGTATTTCAAAGTGGGTAAGAAAAGGTGCTGTTTTATTAAGACAAATAATTTGTGGGGAGACTGGCTGCAGGAAAGCAAACCACACTTAAAAAAACCCAAAAAACCAAAAGCACTAAACTGCATTGCACTGAAACACTGGGATAAGGAAGAATTTTGCCCCAAGGTATTCACTACGCAAATTTTCTCACTTCAGTCTAAGATCTGGAACTGGCAGGGGAAAAGCCTGTGAACTAGGTGCACCGCTGGCTTGATTTCAGTATTGTGAGGGTTCCAGATCTTGCCCTACCGAAAAATCTGTCCACTGCACTAAAGAAGAGTGCACCTCATCTAACGAGGAGGTGCTTTTGTGACTCTGGAAACTACAAAACGTTACAGTTTCCGTAGAGATTACCAGTTACCTGTTGGCACAAGGTTCCCACCAACTCATTTTGCATTAAATCACAAATAAGCAACTGAAGTTTACTGACTTATTTGCCATAATGACGTACCCAGACTTCCCCAGTACATTCTGTACCAGTCCTACCTAGCTGGAATTCTGGGACTGCGAACTGGAGGCATCGGATTCCTGTGATTATTGGAGGGCTTTTTTCCATGGGGCGGAGCAACCCTTTGACAGCCAGCTCGTACGCCTCCTGGGTTTTCATGTCAATGTTAGAATGCCTGGAAAATTAGAAAGGGAGCAGACATGTAGTGTTTCTCTTCAATGGGATTTAAAATATCTCCACCCCCAAGAAAGCAGAGCTGCAATTTTTATTCTTACAACTGCCTATGTGTGGAGTCTTTGCATATGTTTTAAGGCTATGGTACGTGTACTGTCAGTAGGGTAGCACAGCCTGGGAGGGAGGTACTTGGTCATGTTTACAAGATATTTTTGTAGGTCCTAATGTAACTAACAGGTCCTAAAATAGGTGGAGATTTCAGGATACAAGGGCACCTAACTGCAACCTCTCACCAGAGCACAGAGCACTCGGAGTAACTTCTCTCTGTTCCTGTCTGACACTCCAACCTTTAAAGACTTGGATGATGGCAAACAAAAATCATCTCGTTTGTTTTAAAGACCGGCAAATAGCGGCTGGATCAGGTCAACTGCAATTCCCCACTGGATACGTACATCAGCAGGGCCTTATGATTTGTTCCTTGAATGACAGCGAGAATCCGTTCCAGCTTCTCCCTTGTGATATGGTCTGCAAACATTAAGGTAAAAACAAAATCTCAATTATCCATCCAGCAACTGGAAAGAGGCAGCAGTCTGAAATGTGCCGTCAGGGCGTCGCTGTCCCTTTGTCAGGCAGTCGCATCAACACGAGAACCGCCAAGAGGCGGCTGTAGCCGTCACGTCTCCAGGCTGCGCCATGGCAGTGCGCAGAGCGGCACGGCGCTGGACTACAAAGGGAAGATGTATTTTGCTTAATTGATGTCAAGATGTTGGCTCCAGTTTCTCTCACTGGCTGCCAGAAGAGTTTCATCCAATGAGAGCTTCTAACTGCGATCTCCAAGTACGATTTACGGAGATCTGGGTCCCACCTGATCCAGTAGCAACCACTGTGATCCTCCGGCTTTGCATATATTGTGGTTGTATTTAGAACAGGTGGAGTATGGCGTCAGGATTGCACATGGGCTGCATGTAAAAATGACTACAAAGCATGGACAGTGTCCCTTTTATTACTGTGCAACTTACCTGGTCAAATGCTTTACAGTTAGCAGCTGTTTGTTTGGTGTTTTGGTTTGTTTTGCTTTTTAAAAACACATCAGTTCAGTTTCTTACCAAATGTGGTCTTCTCTATTAGCTTCCCTGTGTCTGAGAAGTCATCAGTGGCTTTACCAAACAGCCCACCAACAGTGTAAACCTTGAAGAAGGGCAAAGAGCGCAATTTATCAGAGAAATACTCCAAGCAATCGAGTAGCAATGTTCTGCCACGCAGCTGCTAAGAAGCACAGGCTGTGACAATGTCACACAAAAAGACAGCAGCATCCCTGCTCACACGGCCACGTGTGGATGCTCACGTTAGGGATGAAATTCTGGACCCTGAAAAGCCCTCAGATGCGTTGGTGGGTTTCAGACTCAAAAGCAGAATCACCGTCACAAGGCCAGTCTGGGGCACCGGGGCAGGAATTGAGCGTGCGATTGCACTCGGATATTCTGGGCCGTTCAGAGCCAACAACTACCTTGGTGAGGTGGCAGTGGTACAGATCGGTGAGCAGCTTGTTCCCGTGGCCTAGGCCGAGTACTGAAACACAGAAGATGGGGAACCCGTTACTCAGCCACACGGAGAGTTACTGACGTGCATTCAAACGGTGCTGCACGCTCACGTGGCTTTTCTTCCCCCCAGACAGGCCCGTATCTCCTTAGAAGTCCTGCCTGAGCAGTGCAATTTGCCCCCCAAATTACCGCCTGTCATTAAAACTGTAACAAGGGCGCTTGGATTTCCCCAGAACCTCCCACCTGCGTACTTCAGGGCAACCTGCTTAGGCCACGGTGAAGCCAATTCAAGCGGTGGCGGCTACACGGCACATCCCCGACGGCGCCAGAGCTGGGTGTCCCGCAGCGAAGCCCTGTGTGCCGGGCTAAGGCCTCGCTCCCGTCTCCCGCCATCGCCAGTGTCTCGCTGGATCGTTTCTTCCGTGGTTCAGCGTT